AGGCAGGCAAATAAATATTCTTAACTAACATGATATTCTTAAACTCATCAGTCACATTTACCAGAAGGTGAGCCTGAATGGAAAAAAAATTAAGGTGAGAGTAAGCCCTACAGACTGTTAAAAGAGATCTCACTGAGACCACACCTACACAAGGTTTTAAGAAAAGAATGTTGCAAGGCACTGTCTTCAGATTATGTTTTTAGAAAACAAAGAGAAGACTCAGGCTCTGGGAAGAAATGGAACCATTCTAGCGTTGCACAGCATTTGTGCATATGACCACTGAAAAAGACTTGTAAGGACATTGCTAACGTCCTACCTATCAAATATTATGCTTCACTACAAATCACTGGCTTTTACAAGCAGGTTTGTAGAAACTGAAAGCAGAATAACAAAACAGAAATACATTTTAGAGTTAGACCTAGATGCAAGTGGCAATTCTGTTGCTTGGTGGCTGTACAATTTGGAATAAACATCTTTACCAATCAGAGCTTTTATTTCCCTCAAGAGCATGAAGAGGAAAACATGGCCTATCTGCCAGAGACTTTGGGCATATGAAATCACACCAAAGATGTGAAAATTTTATTTCGGTTCCCTGTATGTTCTCTTATCAATATTATTTCATCTCTCTCCTTTTCCTTTATAAGTAGTAAAAAGTACTAAGCTCTTGGTTTTTATTAATGCTAGGAAAAGCAGCTGGGGATAAGGCTCAGTGGCACAGATTCCTGCCTGGCAAACGCCACATCCTGAGTTCAATTCTTGGTATTGAAAAAAAAGGCAAAGCAGTTACTGTAAAGATTCCCTAGGTCACAAACCACTCTAGAAATACTGAAGAGAAAAAAGCTGCCTGCTATTTCCAAGCCATTCAGATATTCTCATGCATCTACAAGAGGTGAAAGTACATCTGTTATTTCTGGTTTTCTCTTGGTACCTGGCATGAAATGCAGGTGGAAGTTTATTTGGGGTGTATGCTTCAATTAAAAAAAAAAATCACCTATTTTTCCATTAAAAAAAAAAAAAAAAAAAAAAAAAAAAAAAAAACGAAGTCCTATCTAGCGAAGGCTGTTTATGTATGAAAAATATCCAAATGGTTTTGGCACACTGAGTAGGAAGGTAAGATACAGATTTTCTGTAGGTTAAGTAAAGTGTTCAATTCAGTGACCAGAAATAATTATCACTCTGCAAGAGGCTAAAACAGCGAGACAAGCTGTCATGCTTCCAGGAGGTAGGCAAGCAAGTATTTAATGAAAGCAAGTCAATTTTTTCAAAATGTAAACCACTGAGATTATCAAACATAGATAAATATTTAACACATCTCTCTCTCTCTCTCTCTCTCTCTCTCTCTCTCTCTCTCTCTGTACCAACGACCCAGTTTCAGACGTTTTCACCAAGCCCATTTTAAAGCTGGAATTTAGAGATACTATCTAATCTGTTCATATCAGACACAGCAATTTAAGAGACACTGCTATCACAATGGTATTTCCCCTGCAGACAAAAGAAATCTTCGCAATGAAAACCTCAAATGCACAGTGGAAATTACTCAAATTCTCATATTTTAAATACTGTACTGGTTTTGTTTTTCTTAAGTAACTTTAGAGAAGGGTTAATCTTCATAATGTATGGAGTTTTTATTTCATAACTCCTTTGAATCAAAAGACTACAAGCAACAATAACGAAAGTCCCAAGGTTTCCAACTGAAGACACTTGGGAAGACAAAGGAGCACAAGAGAAAGGAAGGAAAGAACAAATGGGAATTAGAGTAGCTGGACAAAAATGAAGGAGGGTAGAGGGTATATTCACAGACCACAACCTTATTATGCCATCATTCTTACAACTTTTAAAAACAGGGTTAGATCACACTGTTTTAGATAACTTAATCACCCACTAACAAACTCTCCTGTCATTTCTCCAAAGCCATCATAAAACCAGAGAACAGCCTGCTTCACAGATGCCATCATGTTTCTGCCACTTTACCCTTCACTGTTAAGAAAACCACTTGAAGCAGATAATTGAGTCCTATCTTCCTTCTAGTCTCCCTAGGAGATAAAGCAGAACTTGCTGCAAGTAAGAACATACATAAGCAAAAAGAAGCAAAATCTCTCCCCATCTGTCACTCCCTTAGCCTCAGATTATAGGCAGCTAGGGGCTGATTCACGTGGATGGGCTTTTCATTACAAAAAAGTTTGGGTTCCCTTGCAGAGAACTAGAGTTCCAATTAAGCAGGCTGGATGAAAAGGGGTGATATCATGAGCATAAGTAGCAAGCTTCAGGCCTCAACACACTAATCAGAAATGACTCTATGGTTAGTTTATACACATGGTATCACAATGTGAGCTACGGCCCTTCCTGAACCCACCAAACTGTTCACTGTCATCTGGCTTAATTTGAAAGGAACTTTCATGCCTTTAGATACTGTAATCTTCTAAACCTACATGTAACTAGCTATGATTTTGCAGAATATAAATCTGGGCAATGCTTTTTCCCCTAAGCTTTGGCATTCTGGAGTTCCCACTACTCCACAAAAAAGGGAATGTTTACTCTCCTCTGATTGTAAGTAAAGTTTCTAAAGCTAACTGGATCATGTTACTAGAAGGATCAGAAATAAGACAAGAATGTCCTCTATTTACTACTCTTACTCAATAACGTCCTCTATTTACTACTCTTACTCAATGCTCACAACTTTAGCCAGAGCAATCAGGCAAGAGAAAGAAAAGGGATACGTATAGGATAGGAAGAAGTCAAAGTCTACGTATTTGTAGACATAATCCTTTACATACAAGACCAAAACCCTACCCAATGACTTCTAAAACTAATAAATTCAGCAAAGTAGGATACCAAATCAACACACAAAAACTAGTGTGCTCTTGTAAGCCAATAATGAACTTACTGGGAAAAAAATGAATAAAGCAGTATCATTCGAAGAGCTTCAAAAAAATTTGAACAAAGGAAGGAAAGGACTTTTCTAATGAAAACTATAGTACTCTGAAAAAGGAGATCGAAAATGACATCAGAAAATGGAAACATATCCTTTGTTTTTGATTATACAGACCCATCTACTGTCAAAATGGCCATACTTTCAGAACTGATTTAAAGCAATCCCAATCAAAATACCAACAGCATTCCTCACAGAACTAGACAAAACATTCATAGGGAACCAGAAAAGACCTCAAATAGCAAAGGCAATCCTGGGCCACAAGGGCATCACAATCCCAGATTTCGAATTGCATCACAAAGGTATAGTGATAAAAACAGCATGATATTGGCACAAAAAGAGTTATGTGGATCAATGTAACAGAGTACAAGATGCAGAAACAACTGCAAACACATTTAGTTACTGCTTGATCTTTAACAAAGGGGCCAAAAACATATGCTAGAGGGAAGATGGCTCTTCAAGTAAATGGTGCTGGGAAAACTGGCTATCTACCTGCGGAAGATTGAAGCTAGACCCATCTCTCTCGTCATGTACTAAACAAATAAAAATGGATCAAAGATCTAAATTAAAACAGAAACAGAACCAGTGTAATCTCCCAGCACTCATGAGGCTGAGGCAGGGAACTGCTGTGTGTTCGAGGCCAGCCTAAATTGCATAGTAAGCCTGGCTCAAAAAGACAAAAACAAAAACAAAAACAAAACAAATAACCCTCCAAAAAACAGAAATAATCAGCTGAAACATAAAATAGGTAAAACTCTTGAAGAAACAGGCAATGACTCTAAACAGAACTGCATTTCCATAAGAAATAAGATCAGGAATCAGCAAATGGAAATTATATCAAATTAAAAGGCTTCTGCACAGGAAAGGAAACAAACAACAGAGTGAAGAGACAATTTACAGAATGAGGAAAAAAAAAGTCTGCCAGCTACTCAGTATTCAGACAGAAGACTAATATCTAGAATATATGTATTTTTGTTTAATGTATCTTTTTTTTTTTGGTCTTTTTCGTTTTTATTGGTAACAGGGATCGAACTCCCAACTGCACACTTGCAAGGAAGGCGCTTATGCCGCTGAGCTAAATCCCCAGCCCCTGAATATATGTATTTAAAAAACAATTGAAATAATTATACTCCACCTAATAGGTAAAAGAGCCAATCAGAAAAATGGGAAACTGATATGACTAGATACTTCTCAATAAATGGTCAATAATTACATGAACAAATGTTCAACATCTCTGCCCATTACAGAAATGCAAATTAGAACAACCCTAAGATATCATCTTACCCCAGAAAGAATGGGAATCATCAAGAAATCAAATAATAACATGTTGATGAGGTGGTGGAGAAAGGGAATCCATCTAAATTGTTAGTGGGAAGGTAAATTAGTACAAACACTACAGAAGATTCCTCAAAAAAACCTTAGAAATAGATGTTCCAGTCAACTCAGATATTCCCCTTCTACATACCTTGAAGAGTTTAAGACATCACATTACAATGATATAAGCTTGGAAGCAGCCCTTATGTCCATCAATAGATGACTAAAGAAAATATACACAATGGCATCCTACTCTACCATAAAAGAAAGTTAATTTAAATCATTTGTAGGAAAATAGATGCATCCTGAGACCACAATATTAAGTGAAACAAATCAGACACACAAGCTTAGTATCACATGGCTTCTCTTATATGAGAAATTCAAAGTATAAATAAAGAGAAAAATAACAGGTAATAAGAAATAGGGAGATAGATCTTTTGCAAATGGGAAGGGGACCAAAGGGAGATGAAGAAAAGGGGAGGTGGATGAAAACAGAATTAAGATAACATTATGTACACATACCAATTTCCCATGATGTATGTAATTATTACATATTGCAAACAATATACTAATAAATGTAAATTTTTTTTAAAAAACCAAGTTACTAGCAGGAGAAATGTATTAAGGGAAGTGAGATACCCTGAGAAGACACGAACACAAGAAAAGGAAACAAGTGGAAAAAAAAAAAGAGTTAAGGAAAGCCAAACAGGAACACTGGAGTTGCTCGATATAAATGGAAGAATGATAGGCTCGGTACCTTTGGGAAGACGATGCTGTCCGTGTCATCACTGAGTGAACGAAAGAGGTCAGAATCACTCCCAGATTCTCTCTGATGTACACCTTGTTTTGAGGTACATTCTCTGTCAGGTCCAACATCCAAGTTCTCACATTCTGAAAAATAAATTTTATTCAACTGATATTCCCCAAAAGTATTTTTTCATTTTCTGTTCATCTCAGAAACTATTTTCCATCCATTATCTAACTTTTTTTCTCCTTTATTTTTGCTCCCCTTGCTGCTGCCTTCCCTGTCCTCTTTTCTTTCTTTTTATTTATCAGGAAGGCAGAAAGGACACTGTCAAATTATGTACTAGCTTTTAGCTCTTCTCCTGAAATTCTAGGCTGATAGAGGTACCAAGGGATATCCATGAGCTTGTCATTCTCTTTAAGATACAAAAAGAAAAAAAAATGATGATTTAGAACCATATTCTACCTAAATGGTAATGTCTTTCTCCTGGTAATTAAATCATTTTTCTTTTATTTCCAAAATCTGAAGTTTACTACTATAAAATTATGTGACAGAGTTGGTGGACAATTTCACTTGAGACTGAAGTCCATTCTAGAAACACTTGTGCCTTCCAAAATAGTGATGTAAAGATCAACCCTAGTAAACACATCAGATATTAAACAAGTAGGTTCTACAAAATAGTAACAGAAATGTAATTCAAGCTTTTCCTCCCTTAAATAGATCTTACCCTGGGAAAATAACAAACTCAAGTAGAAAAGTGCATCATCATCTGGTATCTGTTTTCAGTTCAATAACCAGGATGGGGACTCTGATGAACCAGTGGGATGTGCACCTGACAAAATGATTACACTGGCATGCTGAGAAATCTTTTAGGCTTAGTATCCTCAAACTATCAAGGTATTAGAAAAAAGAAATTAGCAAGGTATTTAATGCACTCTAATCCTATTAATTCTGTAAACAGACATCAGATCTAGCAGCAATAAAACTGTAAAAATATTTACAGATAGTGAAACTAGGAATTCAAAGAGTTAATTAGTAGGTTTATTTTAAGTTCCTTCAAGAAGTTCTGAAGAGCAATGCCTCTCATACTAGTATTTTAATATATGATGTAGACACGTACATGTACTTTACGAAATCTGTAGATGAAATGAGAGATGAAAGACAAGAGTAGAAAACCTGGTCACCTCGTAGTTCTAAACCTCTACTTAGAGGCTTCATTGAAAAGCAAATTCAAGAGGAGCTAACAATAAAGAAGATGGCAAAATAAACCAAAAACATGAATAGTTTTAGGCTCTTTTAAGAGAATATGTAACACTGGAATCCAAAATGAGAATGGTCCTATAACCAAACAGACCACATAATAGAGAACTGTGTTTGTTCCTAGATTAATACCTAAATCAGAATGATGATAGTAATGAGATCAAAACTGTGTAAACGTAAAGAGATACACTGGCTCATGGAGGAGGAGCCTAAAAGAGCTAATGACAGGGGTAGATTCCCTCTGTGCAATTCCAGGGACAGAACAAAGACTACTAAGTGTAAAATGCGGAGTGTAACTATTATCAGGGCTTTTGGAAGCCTCATAAAGTAGTTGGGAGTGTCATCCCACCAGAAATGCTGGAGGACAGACTGAATGACTATATCAACTTATTACAGATAAAAGATCTACACAGAAGGGTAGTTAGGACTCATTAACTTCTGAAGTCTCTTTAGATTCATAGGTTGTATGCTTAGTAGAGAACTGTGAGAGGCTGTTTACATGTAAATGAATCATTAACAGTTAATAAATTGTATACTGGGGCCAGCCAGATAGCTTTGAGAGATGAGACACTGAATTGGCATTGGTTATGAGCTGCCGGTCAGTAAAACCACTTCTTCTATTAGGTATCTGGCTAACTAATAGGCAATGCAAATAAAGGGATGCTTAAGAGGTGTGTGCGTGTGTGTCAGAGAACTGTTTATTTACAAGACTATTTATAATCTTGTGGTAAAAATGAATATACTAGGAGACAATTTCATCATAGACTTACATACAGTATGTCACAGGTAGCAAGGTAGGGCATATAGATTAATCTGAAAATTTTTCAGTTAAAACAATGACCTTAGTTAATAGACTACTTTATAATGTGTGTTCAATGAGAATAACAGGCCTGCATTTAAAAGACTTGAAATTATGTGTATTCTAGAAGGACTCCCTCAACACAAACGTTTCATAGATTATGTACTAAGTGGAATTGTTTGGTTTGTGACCTTTTTTTCCTTTCTTCTTTCTCACTTGGAAAAAATCAAAAGCTCCATCCTGTGGCCGAAAGAACAGGGGTCTCGCCAAGAACAGAAAGGGCTGTCACAGCAACCACGCCGAGTACTAGCTATCCAACTGGCAGTTTAAACGACCATGTCCAAATTCCAGACTTGAAAACAGACTGGCTCATCTTATCCTACTGGAAAATTCACAGAACGAGCCAGATTCAGCTCTGGTAGGAATATCTCACCCAGACAATAAATCCAGGCCAGCAACTGACCATAAACCAAATTTTGGATCTCACTATGTGAGATAATGTTGATAGCTGGGGTAGGGCAAAGGGAAGAGTATGAAAAAGGAGCAAGGGAGACAGAGGGACTGTAAACCCACCACCACTTCCCCTGAAGTGGATGGGTCCAGAAAGGTGAAGCTGATTCACCCTGTACCAAGTGTTAGTAAATTGTCAAAATTAATGAAAAAAAAAAAACCCACAAAATTAATGAAATCTTTCCTTTCTTCTAACATCTCTTTCCTCATAAGTGAAGTGATACAAACAAGAACAAAAAGCCCTGGCTTTAGGAGTTAGATGGATTTGGCTTAAATCTGTTCCTAACCACTTACATAAGAAGATCCCAATCAAGTATATTAAAGCCTTAAGACTTCATTTTCATAACAGTGAAATGAGAAGATTAGCAACTTCCTAAAGAGTTACAGTTGACACAACTAGTGTATACATTAGTAACTGTGATACACATGTGTCTGATCAGATATATTATGTGTGTGATATACATATGCCTAATGAAGTTTAGACTTCATTAACCTTTACTGTGCCAATCTTTAAATAGCTGGATGGCAGTACAGTGATGGTAAGCACAGTGGGGACAAGTCTTGTTTTACAGCCCACACATAAACCTGTCTATAATTTTTGTGAACTGAGTCATTTACTTTTAAAAGCTAGCAGAACATATGTTTTTCAAAATGTTATCTGATCACTTAGGCTTAAGATGACAGTCATACATCACATGTCTAAAGTGTGCAGCAGGATATACCATTAGGTGTGCACAGATATACCCCATGATGCCACACAATGGTAAAATCACCTGGTGTACTGTACTCTCGTCTTTAAGTGACACAGTACTATATATGCTAACAAGCTAGTTGGAATATGTAGGAAAACATACCAGGAAGCACTGGGCTTCATTAAGCCATATGATTTATAATTGTATCTTGTATTTATCCAAGATTCAAAGGTATGCCATTTTAAGATATTATCTCATTTGATCCAACTCTATTACTTTCCAGAGAGTGTTTATAAAATAAAGAAGAAAAAAAAAACTGAAGAAAAAGTGTATACTTGAGATTCACAAAAAATAAAAACAAAAAACTAACAACATAAAAAATTCCACTGTACTTGGACCAAACTGCTTATGCTGCAGTTATGGTATGGAGTAGGGAGTCTGAATAATTCAAAATTATACCCCAAGGAAAATACTCTAAAGAAGTAAATGGAAGTATTTGAATTGTAAGACAATTTCCTTCTGTCTTTACATGGCAGACAGTTTCACTGCTTTAATGGTTGAAAGTAATTACACTTTTAGAAAAAAGCTTCTAGCAGTTTTTTTTACAAAATGTAGTAATGTTACTTTCTAACACAGAGGAATGTGAAGACTCTAAGTGTAACTATAGCATTATATCCTTTAATCACTCCCAGAAATTTAGGGAAAACACTGCATATTTACTTTCAATAATTCCTTTATAATAAAACCAGAGTTGAAAGTCAGTAGGAAACCTCTTTGGCCATAGAAAATTTATATGGCTTGTTTTAAAATTTAATATGATTGCAGGTTACCTATAGCTAAACTATCCTAGACTAGCAAAAATAAGAACACAGCAATTTTTAAAGCAGAGCAGCAAAAATTGAAAACACTTTGGCTGCGTTAAGCAGACTCAAGAATCCAGAATGCAAATTACTAGTGTTCATTTAGTTGTAGGATCAGGAACAGAGAAATAGAATTACTCACCAGGTCATGTGTACAACACCCTTTAATGAGGCAAGCTAGTAATATTTTTCAGATGAGAGACAGTGGATCACACAGACATCAGGGAACATCCCTTATGTCACACAGAGTTGGTAGCTGAACCTGGGTTTAAAGTTGTGAATCTTAAGTCACCTCAAATCATGTGCTGTGGCATTAACAAGCAAAGTCTTATGAGAATTTTTCTTCTGTCTGTTGTCACTGCTGAGATCATAGGTGCTAAAGGGAAGACTCAACTCCAGACAATATTTGAAAGTGTAAGGTTCTCAACTTTGGCTGCTTTGTATGTAAACCAGAGAAAACTGGAAAGATTTTGATGCCTAGATCACATTCTACTTGGATTAAATTGGCATCTTAATGGGGGAAGGTGGGATTGGGGGCTAGGTATCTGTATTTTTAAAGCTTGCTTGTATAATTTCAACATGAAGCTGACATTAAGAACTATAGGTTTGCATATGATATATACATAGATTTGAAAACTTATGTAAATACACAGCACCAATGCCTTCATAAATTAATAAATAATTCATCACAAAGCCACAAGTCTTCACTTATTATTATAATAAAATTATTATTATTAAAATAAAAATTAAGGAAATTTCTTCTGTGTACCTTCAATCATGAGACAAAATGTTGACAACCCAAATCATACATCTCTTCCTCTGACTTACTATACAACATGCTAAGAAAGAGCAGAGCTCCAAATCAAACAATGTACTATTAGAAAGGGAGCGTGGTTCTGGAAAAACAGACATTCTACATACAGTTACTCAAATCAGAAGATGGAAAATCTCTACTCACTTGGGTTCTGCTTGGAGGCCAAAAGAGATGTTGCAGCGGCGCACGGCTCTAAAGCACACCAGCTTTCACGGTTTATCTGAAAAAGAAAACAATTTGCTGCAGATACTGAAGTAATGTAGAATAAATTAACAACTGCTAAGACTTTATATGTTGTACAAACCAAACCCTTCTCCTGTTAATACTTCAAAGTGGTTAAAATTATGTCAAGGAAAAAACAAGTAAACTTTACAACATAATCAAAGTGGTCAAGACAATTAAAAAAATTCTGAACAGCCTGTCAATAGGCATACAAAATTAACAGGAAAAGACTAAAGAGGCCACAATTCAGGCCGACAGTGGAATCAGAATTAAGACAAAAATTACTACAAAATATTTCTTATTTAGGAGTTAACACACGCCAAGTACAATGCTAAACATTCTACATTTATTATCTCACCAAATCATCAAAATAGCTATTTTGATGAATAGCAACAATTTTGTATTACCTCTATTCACCCAAGGCTCAGAGGTGTTATGTAACAAATAGCATAAATGGTACTGCCTTGTGAGTCTATCCTTCTCCCAAAGCAAGTTTTAAAAGACCTAAACTTTAAATCTCCCAACAATCTTAACATTGTAACCTTTTACTTTTATTAACTTTGAATTAATATAAATTTTTAAAAATATCCTTAAAGATTTTAAAACACTCCTCTCAGTAAGTGATAGAAGATACAAATTGGTAAGAATACAGAAAAATTCCAAAGATACCAACCATTATGCTCTAACCAATAAATATCAAACATTCCAACCAATTTTTAGCAGAATGCACATTCTTTTCAAGTGCATCTAGAATGTTCGTATTTTTATAGCATAAAACTAACCTTAAATAAAACAAAAACCACTTATTCTGTCACACACATCTCAAATTTAAGAGGATTAAATTCATTAAAAAGATGCTCTCTGACCACAACAGTATAAAATAAAAAAAAAACCCAAACTCTACTAAAACTAAAAACTTGAAATTCATTATGTAACTCAATCATGAGACAAACTGCTTACAAACCCAAATCATACATGTATCTTCCTCTGATTTACTATACAAAATGCTAACAAAGGATAGAGTTCCAAAGCAAATGATAATTAGAGTGGAAGTATGGCTCCATTATTAAAGTTAGCACATAAAATTTCTAAAGAAAACAGAACATTTTCTTGTGACTTGGGGTTAGGCAAAAATTCATTAGGCAGTATGCAAGAAACAATGTTGAAAAAACGACTACATCATTAAAAACTGGCTCCTCAAAAACTATTGCTAAGTAAATAAAAAAGCAAACTACAGATGGGGAGAAAATAGTTTAAAAGGCAACAATCTGCTAAAAGACAACGTAGAATACATAAAAGATAATAAAAGCTGGATGCAGTGGTATTTACCTATAACCAGCATTTGGGGAGGCTGAGGCAGGAGGATTACAAGTTTGAGGCCCACCTTGGGGTCTGAAATGTAGCTCAGTAGAAAGGCCATGAGCTCAATCCCTAGCACAGGGAAAGGTGGATTTACACTACAATAATAAAACAACACTGATGAATGGATAAAAAACTTGGATGAGTATTTCATCAAAAAGGATAATGAATGGGAAATGCACAAAGAAAAATGACATTCAAAATTGTTACTTAACAGGAAAACACAAGTTAAAACCACCAGGAAATATAACTATGCTTGCATTAGAAGAGGTAAAGTTTAAAGAATGATGATGCTACTCGAATGTTCACCAAGATGTGGGACAAGTGGAGATGGAACAATACAAAATAGTACAGCTATTTGAAAATCAGTTTGGCAGTTCCTTTGGTCAAACATATACTACACACTGTACAGCATCCCACTCAGGAGTATCCCCACCTAAAAACAAAGTCATTTTCAGCAACCGCTGGTGACCACAAATTATAAGTTGACACAGTATCTGTACACAGCCCTCCTGTCTTGTAGGCAGACTTAGGGATGCAGAAATCCCAGTTCCTCTTGGTTCCTGCTGAGATCATGATGGTAAATGAAGCTGTAGATTCTCATGGAGCAGGATTAGGTCCACGAAGGATAATACACAGGGAGAAGAACTAGTACCCATGTGAGGGGATGAATTTTGTTTGCCAGTGTTACACTTGCCCACTCACTACTTCTACTCTGTTCCCTGCCCACTGCACTGGGCCAGCTGGAGAGTCTTGGTCTTTGCTCCCAAAGAACAATGATCATCTCAGACAGACCCCTATTTCCCTGCAATTCTTGATCTTGTTCTTTATCTTTCTCAGGGCAGGAGACTGGGTCTCACTGCAGGGGTCCTTGATAATTGGCTCCTTATAACTATCAAATATTTGAAAGTGATTCTAAATATAAGGAAATCTTCACCAGGTTCCCTGAAATTACATAAACTGTGCTCCCCAAAATGTAATTTGATTATGTGCAATAAAGAAGTAACTACAAATTCAGTAACTACTAAATCCTACCCACATATTTCAATGAATTGAAATTTTAAAAAGTATTGTTCAGAAGATTTTTCCATTTAAATGCATCCCACTTGGACTGGGCCAAATTTAACTGACTATAAAATAAACTTCCCTGCTAGCAGTTAAAGAGGCCAGAACCTTTATACTTCAATATGAAATTACATTTTAAATTTTGAAGGGGAAAACTGCATCCCCGTCTTTTATGCTTTAACTAAAACAGGTTGCTTTTGAATAGAGCAACAAATTTTGACAGTTATGAGGAACTTTAAAAAGCTTAATGAACTCTTTTTTTTTTTTTGTCCTTTTCATTTCTATCAGTACCAGGGATCAAACTCATGACTGCCTGCTTGCAAGGCAGGCGCTTATGCCGCTGAGCTAAATCCCGCCCCTAATGAACTCTTTAGTAACAGAGAATATAGAAATAAACTACTTTGGACTATAATATTGCTCTGCCCTCCTTACATAGCCTTCAACAATTTTTAGCCTACATTTTAAGAAACTCTACTAAAATTCTACAAATTAGAATATTTTCCTTACTTTCTCAATACCACATTTGTTATTTCATGGCCAATAAGTAAACATCTTGGCCTTGAGTGTGGAAAGGACTAATAGATTCAGTACGTTCCCTATCATTTTAGACAATTTTGTACTATATAATGTCCCACAGTTTGCAAAATAATATAGAGCAAAACTAAATTCATTTTACCAAAATTAAAATGAATAAAATTTCTTTAAATGAATACATGTGATGAGAGCTATCAGTGTAGGGAAATCATTTTCCATGGGTCGTTTATATCTTTACAGATCTTATGAGTAAAGGCACCAATTATCCTTCTAATTTAGACTATCTTTCCAAGAATGTCTGTGTGTCAGACTTGCAAGATAACGAAACTTGTTTCCTTCCAAGGCAAAGGGCAGGTTTGTTTACCTTTCTGTATGGCAAAAGTAGATCAGTAGACCAAGGTCACACAGTTTATTGCCCACCATAAAAAATCAGATTTGTTAAGGTTTGGGTTTCTCAACTCTGACAAAGCATCTACCTGAGCCGAGCCGTTCCCGTTACTGTCACGGACTCTAGGAAGCAAAAAGAGTCAACAAACAGTGGACGCTCATGGTGCCTGTCGCACAGTGAGTAGTGAACACACGCCTCTGCCCTCGGAGTCCTCAACTGCAGGCAGCTGGCGTGACAACTGTCAAGGCTAAAGTATTTTGTGGGCTTGACAGTAGGGTAGAATCTCAGATGCATCACATTTCTACCAATTAGTGTAAGTGTGTGTATATATATAAATATTTTTTCTTTTTGATAATAAATAAACTCATGGGTTATAGTGCCTCCATATCACAGGATGACAGATCTATGTATGAGCTTATAGATTATCTGATTCAGTGAGGAAACCATATAAACCATGGCCTGCAGGTTGGAAAATTTTAATTTGTAAAAGATGACAGGTGAGCAAATGACAAATCTATAGAGATTAAGGAAGCACCTAGCATAAGAATAATTTTGAAGACTTGTGGAAAAATTCAAGGACAATGGTAATATATGAAGTAAGCCTTTAAAAGTGGTTAATATGGGTAAGCACTAAGGTGGAAAATTCCATGCATGGGGAAAAAGTGTGAACAAAATAGTTTTCAAACTCCAAAATTGGACCTAACAGCATCTTGCGTCACAGACTCTATTAAGAATATAATGGAAGCCAGCTGGACATGGTGGCACACTCCTGTAATCTCTGCACTCAGGAGGGTGAGGGAAGAGGACTGCTTCAAGTTTGAGGCCAACTATGCCTCCATAATGAGTTCAAAGCCAGAATGAGCTATATAACAAGATGTCTCAAAACAAAAAACATAAGCAAAACAAGATTCAAGAAAAATAAAAATGTGCCACCCAATTAAAACAAAACAAAACAAAAAAGGCTGGTGCTGGGGTACATGCCTATAATTCTGGTAATGTGGATGGCTGAGACAGGTGGATACAAGAGTTTGAAGCCAGGTTGGACTACAATGTGAGAGACTCCGTTTCAAAAAGTCCAAAAAATTAATACGGGACACGGCATGGGAAGCACATACTTGTAATCCTAGCACTTAAGAGAGGCTGAGGCAGGAAGGTTGAGTGCTGAAGGCCAGCCTAGAATACATGGTAAAATTCATTCTCTCTCACTCTGCCTGTCTCTCATCCATAAATAAATAATAAAATTTTTGTATCTAAGAAAAATCATGGAACTCTTACAAGAAACACACATGTCACAATTACAGGCTCTAGTGTCTAGGCCTGTAACACAGATTACAGATATTTGTCACAAGTACAAAACACCTAATGGTGTCCTGAAATATAAACAAAATTAAGAGTAAATACAGAAGATATGGCTACAATGAAATTTAGTTTTATGTCTAGCATGCATGGTACCCAATAATCATACAAGTAACAGAATGAAAAGATCAATATTACACCTGGAAAATAACTGTGGTATACTGGGACACTGGAAAAAGAAACATGGGGAATTTGGAACACAAAGACAAGTCAGGATGAGTACGACCTACTATAGTGGAGAGGGAGTCTGCACACCTCAGCTGGGGAGGTGTTCTTGGGAGTACAGAAAAAGATGT